GGTTTATTTTTCAAAGAACAGAAGGGTATGAAAAAATTAAACAAAATAATCTTATATATTAATATGATAATTAAATTATATAAAATATGAATTAAAATTAATTTAATTATAATATAATAATATTTTTATGAGATATTGTATAAAAAAATATTAAAAAAATAATTTCAAATATAATTTACAACGTTTAAAAATAATGTAATCTTATTAGTTAAAAGATATAATCCCTTCCTTTCACTTCTCCGCTTTCCCTCAAACATACCCTAAAGAATTGTTCCATCCAAATAGGATGTTTGGTTTAAAGAGAGTAAAGGGAATTATTCCTCTTTAAAAGCCTATTTAGTTTGAGGAGATGAAAAGAAATTGAAGTAGTTTTATTTTAATTAATTTAATTAAAGTATGAAATTGATATAAAAAATTAATTAATTATAGTAATTTTCTCCTCCCCAAACCAAGCAAGTTCCAAGGCTGACCCATCTTCAAGCCTTCGTTTCAAACCCTTGTAAGTGCCTTCAACTCCTTCCTCTCCTCTTTCCTTTATAGCAATTGTTTTACCCCAATGACCAACAGGTCGCCTCCTGCAATAAATAACACGCAAGGGGAGGTTTTTATTATTATTATTATAAAAAACATGATTAATAAATTAATATTTATTTAAACATTAATTAAAAAATTGATCTAATAATTAAATAATTATGTGTTACATTTTACCTTATTTTTATTTTTAGATAGACATAATCACTTGGGTTAGATGGGGAGTGCACACGCAAGGGGAGTTTATTGGGCTTTGGATCTTGGTTCATGAATCATGACTCATGACTCATGACCATCAATAAAACAATTCTAAATCCCATAAAAACGAAGACACATACATGAATGAGACAATTTATAAAGTGATAAATGCTAGCCGCAGTCAGCAAACTCTTGATTGTACTATATCTTTTAAAATAAAGTTTAAAAAATTAAGATATTTTAAATGTTAAAATATTTTGATTTTCGTATTTTTGTTTTTAAAAGATAGACAACAACGAAAATTTAGCACTCCATCGGCCCCTATTGGAGGCTAATTTGATTGGTGGAATTAGAAGTTAACGAGGGAAAAAATTATAATAGGTCGAAGGCTGATCTA